TGAGCAAGAGTATTCCCATTGGCCCAACATAAATGGAAACTAACTAGAAAGGGAATTCTGTGTGCTAGAGTTGAGCCTTGCCAAGTTAATACATCAAAAAGCCATTACATCCATAATTTTTTCCCATAAACTAAATTTGAGTTGTGTTCCATCATTGGCATAAAAAAGCTTCTGATTCAGTTGCCATTTACTTATTGAGTAATCTTCTTACACACCACGGAGCTAGGGACTATTTACGATTTTGAAGACTGAAGCTCAGAAAGGTTAAAAAACTTTTTCGGACTCAGAGCTTCAAACAGTTTGTCTTTCTACTGCTGATACTAGGATACCAGTCTTTGCCAAAAAGGAGCCACCTGGTTGGAATATGAATTCCTCATGAGTCTGGAAGCTGACTTCAGCAAATTTTTATTTTAATTAAAAAGAAGTCCAAAACTTGATGTACTTTATTCATCTGATGACAGAACAAGGCCAAAAAATATATTTTTATCTTCATGACCCAGTGCCTGGCCCAGATGTATCATTTGGCTGATGTAATCAATGGTTTGGTCTGTTTCCCCTGTTGCGTTAGTGTCTGATATTTTTAGGTGATCATTTAAGGCTTTAACTCTTATTTGGAAACCGCTTCCTACCTGGAATAGCTTAGAACTTAAACTCTCCTACAAACATCAGCTGCAGTCACAATGTCAAGTCGATGCTGTATCCTCTTGCAAGAGTGGTGAGGAAAAAAGGAATGTACAAATGAACAATATCAGAAATGAAAGAGGAGACATCATCACAGATTTGACAGACATTAAAAAGATAAGAGGAAAATAGAAAAAATTTTATGCCAACAAATTCCATAACTTCCATGAAATGGACACATTCCTTGAAAATGGATACATAGAGTATAAGACATTGTAGCTGGGATTCCAGAGAGTTGGATCTCCTAACTGCCAAATCTAAGGGCGCTTTTGGGGTTTTACTTTACCCTTCAGTGGATTGGACACTGCTGACTGTATCCTCCTTGAAATCTTCCTCTTTTGGCTTCCATAAAACACTGTTAGTGTTTCTCCATGTAAACCTCATTTCCCTCCTTCTTCCTTTCTGCTTAATTACAGAAATTCTATGATTTTCTTTTCTTTTCTTTTCTCTCTCTTTTTTTTTTGAGATAGAGTCTCACGCCATTGCCCAGGCTGAAGTGCAGTGGCAAGACACGATTCACTGCAGCCTTGACCTCCCCAGGCTCAGGTGATCCTCCCGTCTCAGCCTCCTGAGTAGCTGGGACTAGAAGCATGCACCACCACATAGTTTTTGGAATTTTTGTAGAGACGGAGTTTTGTAATTTTTGTAGAGATAGTTTTTGTAATTTTTATAGAAATGGAGTTTTGCCATGTTGCCCAGGCTGGCCTTGAATTCCTGGGCTCTAGTGATCCTCCTGCCTCAGCCTCCCAGTGTTGGGATTACAGGCGTGAGCCACTGTGCCCAACCTCTATGACTTTTTAAATTCCATGTCTGCATACAGGGCTCTAACTACCATTTATATGCTGATGGCTCCCAAATCTGCAGCCCCAATTGCTTTCTTGAGCCTCAATTTGACCCAATATCCAACTTTTATCAAGACTATTATCTATGCTGGTCATTTAATTAATGAGTACCCACTACCCTTCAGATGTGTTCAGACCCTTCAAACTCATTTCCTTGTTGCCTGCTATTAATACCCGGTTTTCAGTTGGGAACTGTCCCTCCCCCATTCTCAGTTTTTGTTAGTCAGGAAGAGTCATCCTCCCCCATCAGCATGTGGCCTTATTCTATCCCTTCCAGCCCATCTTCCACACTGTGAACTGAATGGTCTTCCCAAGAAATACATGTCATAATCATGGTGGTTTTAAAGCCGAGTCCCAAAGTCTTTGACTCCCCTGCATTGAATGGTGGGGTGTCCGCCATGACATCTGGGCGGGCTTGTGACTGCATTAACCAGCAGAGCCCGCAGAAGAGACACAGCGTGACTTCCAAAGCGAGGGTAGAAAAGTCCATGCAGCTTCCACAGGTCCTGTAATGTTCATTCTCTGGAGGCCTCCTCTCAGGAAGTTCCCTCTCAGAAGCCAGCTGTCATACTGTGAGAAGTCCAAGTCACGTGGGGAGGCCATCTGCTGACTCATCCTAGGTAGGCAGGATAGGCGCCTACTGACCCATCCTAGTTACCTGGTTTTCAAGTTACCCTAGTCCAGCCAGGCTGAGATTCCTAACAATTTCAGTCCAGGTTCCTGAGAATCTTCTTAAAGTGGATCCTCTAGCCCCAACTGTTCCAGCTGTCAGCCATTTGAGTCTCCCCAGCTGAGGCTGCAGATACAAAGAGCAAAGAAGAGTTATCTAGGTGTGCCCTGTCCAAGCTCCTGACCATAAAATTTGTGATCTGAAAAAGAGCTGTGTTAAGCTGCTAAACTTGGGGGAAATTTGTGGCATAGTGATAGTAACTGGAACACTTATGCCACACCCTTGCTTAAAATGTTTCAGTGATTCTGCATCGCCACCACCCAGATGAAGTCCAAATTCCTTTGCCATTCAGTCTGAGCTGCCTGTCCACCTCACCAGATCCAGCTCCTGTCTCTGTCACACAAGCCCTAGTGCCAGACGCACTGCAATTCCTGGAATCGTCCCTACTTCCTTGGGCTCCCATGCCTTTATACATTTTGTTGCTTTGCCCAGATGTCTTCCTGACATCCAAGATATTCAGCAAATCATCTGGAAAACTAGGGGGTGAAAATCCACTGACTTCCCTGAAATCCTTTTTCTCCAGGAATAATGATTGAGTGGCCCTAAGACAGCTCGAGTCCTCTGCAAAAGAATATTCAAAGAATGTGGGTTATTTTCTAGGTCTCTGAATAAAATAATGATTATGCAGAATTGATTCTGGAGCCAGATTGCCTCCATTCAGATACCAGCTCTACACTTATTAGTGGGGGACTTTGTGCAGGTGGTTTCACTTCTCTGTGCTTCAATTTCCCCATCTGTAAAATGGGGTAATAACGAATACTTTGTAGAGTTATGGTAAGGATTAAGAGTTAAAATATGTAAATTGTTTAGAATGATGCCTGGCAGAGAGTGCTTGGATAAATAACTGTTTGTTGAAAATAACGCAAATCTGCAAATAGTTAACTGTAGTTATTGCTCAAATCTGCTTGTGTATTGCCCTCTTTGGGACACCTTCTGAAGCCTCCCCCACACTAGCTATCTGAGTCTCAGTAGGCCTTCAATAAGTGTGGATTAAATGGAGCCTTGCTTTGATTTTAACATACACAGTAACTCCATGCCAGAAAAGGATAATAAGCAAGTTCTTCTAAGCCATATGGGTAATTAGTGGCTGAACAAGACTAAAACTTCTAGTTTTGTTCTTCTGACTGCCAAACCTAAGCTAGTGGCTTGTGTGTGTATGTGTACACATGCATGTGTGTGTCCACCAGTATCATCACTAACCCCTGTCCATTTGCTTTTAAAATTACTTTATTCAGAGACTTATACAATAACCCATGCTCTTTTAGCCTCCTTCTGAGACCCTGAATTGTTCATAATAATAGATTCAATCACTATTATTCCTGAAAAAAGGATATTGCACCTTTCCAATTATTCGGACGATTTGCTGACTGGATAATTCCGAGGCCTTGAACCCCTCCCTAACGTTAGAGGCGGTAACTTTCATCCGTTTACTTTTTCCAGGTGTGAAGGCAAAGGCAGCCTTATTCAGTAAATCGGATTCAATACAGGACCTCAAGCTGCCGGCTGTTGCTTCTACCAACTGCCCCATTATTAACGCCAGACGGCGCTGTGTCCTCACGGGCTTTTTTTTTTTTTTTTGAGACGGAGTTTCAGTCTTGTTGCCCAGGCTGGAGTGTTATGGTGGGATCTCTGCTCACAGCAACCTCCGTCTCTCGAGTTAAAGTGCTTCTCTGCCTCAGTCTCCCGAGTAGCTGGGATTACAGGCATGCGCCACCAGGCCCAGCTAATTTTTGTATTATTAGTAGAGACGGGGATTTCTCCATGTTGGTCAGGCTGGTCTCAAACTCCCGACCTCAGGTGATCAACCGCCTCGGCCTCCCAAAATGCTGGGATTACAGGCATGAACCAGAGCGGTCGGCCCCTCACTGGCTCTTTGGCCACCACGTCGGCCTCACAAAAAGCCCAGGTTTCCCCCAGCATAGTTCAGGGGATGGTGAATGCTTCCCAACATGCCGGCAACAGGCGCCTTTCTTTCTGCTTTTGGTGCGCGCGCGTGTGTCTGTGTGCGCGCGTGCGCGCCCGTGTGTGTGTGTGTGGGGGGGGAAGTGTCCCATTTTTAACCAGTCTTTTGGAGACCTGGCATGGTGTTTGAAAATCTGTTTCCCCTATTATCGATCCGATCCCAAGATTGCTTTTTCTCTGACACTCGAAACAAATTCACTCATTTATTATTAATATTATTATTTTACAAAATAGAGATGGGGGTCTCGCTACATTGCCCAGGCTAGTTTCGAATTCGTGGGCACGAGCAATTCTCCCACCTTGGCCTCCCAAAGTGCTGGAAGTACAGGCGAGAGCCACTGCGCTCGCCCCAAACAAAATCATTTAAATCACAATACACTGAAGGCCGACTAGGTGTCAGGCGCCGCCCGGTCCCCTGTCCCCATCTCCCCGGCCAGAGGCAGGCTCTAGATTAGGGGACTCAGCCTCGCGGTTTTCCCGACGGTATCAGCCAAGCACACACGCCCAGTTGCAGGGCTTCATGGTCGAGGTTCCCAGTTCACCCGTCTGGGAGGGCGAGGTGTGTCCTCCCCTTCCAGTACCTGGGCAACCAGCTCCCTTTGCTGTCCTGTTCTACTGCCTTCCCTCGCCCTGATTTTCCATTCCTTGTGAGTGGTGGTTTCGGCTGGGGGGGAGGGGGCGGGGAAGGGGCCTGGCGAGGAGGGGCGTCGGAGTGCTGTCACCCGGTGTCGCGCCGCCCTCCCCGCCCCTCCGCCGGGCGTGTGGGGACGCCGGAGGGCGGGAGTCTCCGCGAGCAGCGCCGCGCACGGAGCAGGCGGCCGCTTGGGCTCGGCGCGGAGCCGGGAGCCCGGAGCCTGCAGCCGGCCGTCGCCTGCTCCTGTGCGCCGGGCGCCAGCCCCTGCCGCGCTGCCCGGCAGCCGGAGAGCGCGCCCCGCCATGGAACCCTCTCACAAAGACGCCGAGACGGCGGCGGCGGCCGCAGCGGTGGCGGCGGCGGACCCCCGGGGGGCGTCCTCGTCCAGCGGGGTGGTGGTGCAGGTCCGCGAAAAGAAGGGCCCCCTGCGCGCCGCCATCCCCTACATGCCCTTCCCCGTGGCCGTCATCTGCCTCTTCCTCAACACTTTCGTGCCAGGACTGGGTAAGACGCTGCGCCCGCGAGCCCCGGGATCCCAGCCACCCCGGTCCCGCGGAGGGAGGGCGGGGAGGGAGGGACGGGTGCGGCCGGAGACCTCCTGGCGGTGCCGCGCGCTCCAAGTGCTGCGACCACGCGCGCCCGGCCGCTCCCGGCGTCCCCTGGCAGGTGGCAGAAGCGCGTGGAGTGGGCACCCCAGAGGGGAGGGGCTGCGTTGGGGGCTCCGACCCGCAGGCGTAGTGGCGGGGCTCCAAAGAGCCAGAAACTTTGCAGCCAATGCTAGAGCCCGGGGCGGCGGCGGGGTTGGCCCTCCTGGCTCCGGAGTAAGGCTCCAGTCCGGGCGCCCCGATTTCTGCTCCTTCTTTCTGTCGGGCGCATCCGTCCGTGAGCCCATTTCTCCGAGAGGAATGGGTCGGGGCAGAAGGAGCTTTAGGGCCTCGGTGGCAGGGATCAAACTCCCGGGCGTCGAAGTCAGCTGTGCCAGGGAAAGAGGGGACAAGCTGGGCTAGAGACACCTGCAGCCCCCTCTAGTTCGCTGGGTGTGGACCGTGTGGCGACAAGAACTCTAGGCAGAGTCTCCTTCGCCTCCTTCAGGGGTGCCTGCACTTCCTCCAGCACCCCGCAGGGCGCCGGGGGGATGGGGGATGATTTCATTAGTTTGGATGCATGTGAGTTTGGACTGCATCTGGCCAGAGATGAACCCATAGACCCCTCAGATCCCTTCCGTTCCTGAGAAGTAGAGTGCGCCGGACTCTGGCAGCCGGCGGGGGTTCTGGTGGGATCGATGTCCCACATTTTAAAGCAGAGGACCCTTACAGAGATGGTGCGGGAGGGTGAGTGGAGGTAGGGAATGAGAAGTTTTCCTGACCCTCCTTCCCTTAACTCCACCCCCAGGTCTCTGCCTGCACGCCTCCCCCTCCTCCAGCTTGGCACCGGCTGCTCCTGCTGTGAGGTGCCCCCCTTTTCCGTGGTCGGCCGAAGAGGCAGGCGCCCCCTTCCCCTCTCCAGGAGAAAGCCTGCTCCTGTCGGCGAGCTCGTTGCCGACGTATGGCTCCAAGTTCCCAAGAGCAGAGGCCAGCTGGAAGGGTTTTTCAGTTTGTCTTTGGCCTTTCTCACGGTCTCCTTGGTCTTAGTCTGCTTAGCAGAGGCCTCTGCTGCGGTGATAGCCAAGGCCACGGCCACCCACGCAGGACCCATTCACTTTCCTCTTCGAGCTTGCTTGTCTTTGTACCCCAAGGGGCTGCTGCGGGCCGCAGCCTATCTGAGCAGTAAGTTAGGTGGTCTTTAGTTGAGCTTCTTTCTTCTGGGATGCCTGCATCAGCCTGTGCCCCTGGTTGGTGTCATCAGATCAGCTCTCTTTGCACATTTAGACACTGCCAGGAGGCAAGCTAATGTTAATTTAGTTTTACCAGAGATTCCCACCTGCTGGAGTAAAAAGAGACTGCCTGCCCCTCCCTCTGGCAGCTGTGAAGATCCTCTTGAGCCGGCTGGCATGCATCTTGCTTCACCTTTTTTTTTTTTTTTTTTTTTAATGGTGAAGTAAATGCCGCCCTATGGTCTTTTGAGGAAACAAATGCATTGGTGCCAGGTGAGAGGGGCTGCACCAAGTCACTGCTGCACGAGGAAACCACCTTGTGGGAGACTAGCCCCAGGAGACAGCCGCTGCCCACCCGTGCACCTGTGTGTGCTCTCTTGGGTCTTCCCTCACTAGGTGCCTTTCCCAGCCTTGGCTCTCCTGCACTGACAGCATCGACTGCACAGCGTCCGTTCTGCTGACCCCTGGCTCCCTGCCCTAGGGATCCAGCTTTTCCCTTTGTGAGATCAGAATCCTACAGGATTTTTGTAAAACAACCAACCAAAGAAATCAATATAAGAAACAAGGAGAATATAAAGGGAAGATATGCAAACTACAAAAGTAATATAACAGGTGAGCTCTAGGTGCACAGATTTCTGAATTTTCAGTGACATAATCCTGGCTTCTTTTTCTTCCATTTTGCTTTGATTGCTATTGTACAGTTTACTGAGTGAACAGGCTCCTGCTCCTCTCCACACAGAATGAGGGATTCTTGATCCTTGGTAGTGGTTCTCATCTATAAGTCAGGCACACCTATCTCGTGGTGTTGCTGAGAGGATGAAACATGATTACGTAAAGCCCAGTGTCTGGTGCATAGGGAGCTCTCCGAGGATGGTAGGTCCGTCTTGCTCTTCTGCAGAGCTGAGCACTGCTCTCATCTCTGGGTGGGGGCTGCTGCAGCCGGGGCAGCACTGCCCTCTGGACCACTCAGGAGCAAAGGCTCTCTGCTCCCCTCTCCACCTGCAGTGGAGTTCCAGGCAACGAAGCCGCTCAGGCCAACCTTGCAGATGGTTTTATTGCCCCCTTCTCTAGGAGTGGGTTAAATGGCCCTGGCTCTTGGAAATCCCCCACTTGGCCCAGATCCACTTCTCCAAGGCCTCCTGGCTTATCTGAAGCTCCTGGGACAACTGAATATTCATGATTGGTTCTGCCCTTTGATGAAATGCAGCTTCTTTCAATTCACTCATTCATTTGACCAACACAGGCACCTACCACATACCAGGCACTGACAGGGGTTGTGATGACGAATAAATCAGTCAGGATGTCATAGACTCTTGAGGAAAATTGATGCCAACTTTGTCTGAACTTGGTAAGTGCTCAGAAGGCAGCAGGAACAGAGTGTTGTAGTAGAAGTTGATTCTTCTTGGGGGTGAGGGAAGAGGGGTGGTCAGAGAAAGCCTCCCGGAGGGAGTAGTGTTAGGTTAGACCTTGCTGAGAAAATCTATCACGTGGCCTAAGCACTTGCCATCCACACTATACTCTCACTCTGGAAACTGCTCAGACCACTGGCCCAAAGATCTCTATTTTTCTGGAAACTTCCCTCCCTGCAAGTCCTCTTCTTGATTGCAGATTGGATGAGAGGGCAGTCCTTGCTGAATGACTGCTGTTTTTAATTTCTTCCTCTCTGATGTAGGTGCCTCAGGTCCATCCAGTTTGCAGGACCTGCCGTGGAGAAGCCGCATCCTTAAAATTCCCCAGTGCCTTCTCCACCCACGCAACAGTGCTCTCAGGATAACACTCATATTATGAGCGGGATGTGCCCTCTCCTGGGGTGTGGCTGGAAAGGAGAAGTGACTTATGATCACTCTGACTCCTCACTGAAACAATAAAAAACAATTTTTACAAATGGACATTAGTAAAGAGAGTCACCTCTAGTCCCATTCAGTGAAAATCTACTAATAAAGACCACCCTTGGTACCTTTGTGTTCCAGCAAGTAGGGCGTTTATAAGTATATACACAATTATTCATACATGTAATGAAAGTTCATTGTTATGACCCCAAGTGGCCAGAGAGTTTGTCTAGTGTTCAGGGGTATCATTATACGTTTATATTTAAAAATTATACCTATCTTGATTTGGTGAAACGAAAATGTGGATATCTCAGTGACAGGTAAATTTGAATGGAGGAGGGCCTCCATTGACCTTTAGCCACTCCTTTGGACTCAGGACATCAGATAGGGACCACCTATCCCTAACACACTGCCTACTCTTTGTTGCTGCTAAAGTCTTGCTTCCCCAGTAAGAGCACCACAGGCTGGCTCAGTTTCTTCTCTCTCTCTTTACTCGAGACCAAAGATTTGAACAGATGATTAATCATGTCCTACCTCCTGGCTTCTTCTGTATCATAGATTTTTTTGTTGCTGTTTTGAGACTTTATTCTTTGCCTATCTAAGCAGATCTTAAATTCCTTGGGAGCAGCAACTATCTTAAATGTCTTTTTGAAAGAGTATGCTATCCATGAATACATATAGACTAGAATTATACTCCTAGAATAAGCATTAGAGATCATCTGGTCCAGTGCCTTTATTCAATATAAAAGCGAAGTAGGTCTGAGGATGCAAGGACCAAGGAAGTTTACATCCCACTAAATCTTTTGAAGGAAGTTGCTGAAGATGTTTTTCAACAAAGTAAGGGAGTAAACCAAGAAAGGAGATTTGAGACTCAGGAAACAATGGATCCTCTACAGAGTAGCCATGAAAAGCAAATGAAATGTTCAGCAGGACAAGAGAGTAATCACTTTTCATTAGAGTGGAAGGAAAGAGGCCTCTGAAGGTGATGTGGGAGAAGGACACTCTACAGAGTAGACAGTATTATTAGGACACTGCAAAAAAAAATAATAATAATAAGGTTGTAATGAAAAGCAGAAAGCAAGCCAAAAACCAAGCAAACAAAACAGAAGGCAATTAGTAATTACAGTAAAGACAAAGAGCCATGCAAAAACATTAAGATCCAAAAATGAAGCAGCTTGCCCAATCAGGTCAGAAGGTCATCAGGCTTCAAAAGAAGAAAGAGTCTAAACAATAAATGAAGTGGGAAGGAATTTGGAGGATATGAGGGATATGATGTAGAAGGCAAACGTTTCTTCTATCAACAAGAAAAAAGAAACATAATCGGAAACTTCTGGAAAAACAGAACATTTCTTATAAAAGAGATAGCCTAAATATGAAGCAGTCCAGAAATGTGGCCTGATTTTGAGCATGTGGTGGAATGTAAGAAAGGCTCTAAGCACACAGGGTCGGTCGTTGGAACAGTGGTGCATGATATGGGCTCTTTGGCTCTGCAGTAAACAATATTTGTTTAGTCATAATAATGTAAGTGCTGCTTAGTGGCTTTCAGCTTCTAAAATCAACAACGAAGCACTGAAGACTACTTAAGAGTAGCTCTAAAGGAGCATGTAAAGTGTTTCTGGCTTGACAACATAGAAGAAGTTGGATAGTAGAGGAAGAGAGAAGATGAACTGTGATAGATTGAATTATTGTTCCTAATTATTCACTGTTCTCTCTGAAAGAGGATTTCACACCCCCATCTGATGCCATATGGCTTGTCTGCCTGCCCTTGTAGGAGAATCTTCCTCCCCTGCCCATTGATAGCCGGTTTGGCCACATGACTCACTTTGGCCAATTGAATGTGAGTGGAAGTGACATATGCCAAG